GAAGTCAATCAAGCTGCATCCTTTAGTAATAATAATTTTAAGGCTTTTTTTCAGTAACAGTGTTAAAAATTGGTCCACATAAACCAAATGTTCACAAACGTCTTTATTTGGTTAAGATGGTGTTCTTCGAGGTAAATGTTGTAACATCTGGAGACCTGCATGGACCAGATTTATCAATCAGTTAGGGATGCCCAATATAATTGGCTGTATTGGTAATAAAATGTCCTATCAGAAATTATTGGTATGGATTTTCACTCTTAATGACGTATCTATAACATACCATGTACATATCCCTCATCAAAACTATCAAATTAATCAAACATTTGATTCTTTTGCTAGTTTTAGCAATTCTAGCCAAACAACTTTTACTTACCCCATTGGCAGATTTTTTTTACTCAAAACAAGAGTACCACCAAGGTGTGAATGGATGAATGACTGGTTGTGTTGAAAAAGCGCCTTGGGGGGTTGCAGAAATATTGCCTTATTTTAAGCAATGCAATTTTTCTAGAGAATAATTTTTCCTTTTAAACGAAAATGTCTAAAAATTAAGTTTTTTTTTCTTTATTTTCTTAGAAATCAGTGTTTACAGTGTATTTTTCCACAAATGGTGTTTAAAGTTTAAGTATGTATGATTGGAGATGTTAAATGTTAGTTACCTAAAATATATATTTTTTCTTAATATGGGGGTTTCCAGCATGCACTGGTGTAGACTTATATCAGTATCAAAAGGTAGACTACATCGGTACATCGAATAATGGTATAAAAAGCCAAACATTCCTAGTATCCATGCATTCCTAGTACAACACCGGGGCCAGGTCTGGACTGACCAACAGTTCGGCTCAGATCTGGACCAGAAGTAATGTGTTTTGCTAGGAAAAGCTCATACCAGAGGCTCTGGGCCAACAAATGCTTGCTGCAGCTCTGTTGCTATCTTTTTAAACAGAAAGCCTTTGTAATACAAAGTAAGAAATCTACTGACTGGAGATGCAGTGAATAAATAATCGTCTCCTATTGCATCACCATCCTGAGGGGTCCACCTTCGCTGATAAAAGCTCATTTTTCCCATTTCAGATGACAACGCAGCCAAATTGCATGTCATTTTGTATATATCTGGAGGAATAAAGGCCTCATCCTAACACCACTCGATTGGCTCCTACCTATGACATAATGCATCTTTATTTGCTGCAACAGAAATTCATTTAAATGGGTCTGGCTGCTATACAGTAACGCTAATATTACTCTGGTATCCCTGTTTATATCTCATTCTGAAGAGGCTACTTGGCTTGTAGCTGCTGCTCCTGCAGCTCCTGGTGTGTCTCTATGTCACCGCTGTTTACCTCCTTCTGTACAAAGATCTGCCACTGTGTCGGGCAGCCCTGTTGACAGGTAACAATGCCACTGGCTGAGGGGGGTCCCTGCAGAACCAGCAGTCCTTTAGGAACAGAGCCTAGAATAGCGCTGCCATGTGGTTCACTAGACCCCATTACGAGAAACACAAATACGCAGCAGCAAACCAATAACACTTAATCCGCCTGTCAGAAAGCCTGACATACATTCACATCCAATGCTAGATAAACAACACAGTTTGTTTTTTGTTATTGACAAAGGTGCCGTATTGACTTTGGCAGAGAAAATGACATGTTTGCAGGCACACATGGAGCAACTCAATAAGGAGCCAAGAGGAAAAGGTTGCCCTAACGTCCGAGCAAGACTTCTTTAACTGTGCAGAACTATTATTGACTATGATGCAACTCTTGATTGCTTTTATTTTTGATTCGCGCCTTGGTGACCGAACAAGTGTTGTTATTAAAGGGGACATATTACTTTTTTTCTTAATTCATAATAATTTCATGGTCGATACCAAACCTGTTTATGAAGTTCTTTGTTCCAAATTTCTCTCACATAAAACAATTTCAAGAGTTTTGTTCTTTACATTTTCACTACCTTCCAAAATGAGCCAGTGAGGCTCTGTCACTGTAAGAAAGCAAGCTAGAGCTGGCCACGCCCACCCACCCACTCAGGTTGCTAAAGGCCCAGAAGCTCCAATACTGGGAGGCATTCAGAGTAAAGCTGATGCTCCTCCAACAGCAGTTTTCTCTTACAAGTTAGAGGGGGTTCTCTTGTAATTTCCTCATTTGTGATGTCACAAATGGCAACTGTTTGAAACGGCTTGTTTTGGGCAACCGGTTCTTAAACTAAAACCGACAGAAAATAGTTTTTTTTTCACATTCAGAGTGTTTATAGAGGCAGTAGAGACCCACATGGTGGCAGAAAAAGACCCATTTGAATAATATGTCTCCTTTAAGGTGCGAAGCACAAAACCATGTATTTTTTACCTCACACCATTTTCTGTGCTGCATTTTGTGGCAGCTTTGGGTATTTTGTACAAATATGAATAAGATGTGTACTCAGACTCCCCCGATGCTCTTCATAAGTGAGAAAATGGAGATGTGTCTCTCTATCCAGACTTGTGAAATAACATCTGGGATGCACTATAGCTTGAAATGACGGCTGTGTTTCATTCACCTTGAGTCTTGGCTCCAGTCCAAGATATAAACAAGTCAAAATGTAATAAAAAAAAAGTAGAAGCAGCCCATATGCTCATGCATAATCATGGTATTCACAATCCTAATCTAGGAGATTATCGTCAAATCGAACAGTGACAAGGAAGTAAAAGTATTCTTGTTAAATTTCCGTTAATCTGGCAGCAACCTGATCCTAAAGGATTCTGTAGGAAATTAATAGAAAATCAAAAGCAGTTGTTGCTCTTTTACATTAATGTTAAATAATTTCTGTTACCGTAGTAAAACAATAATACTCATCTTACATTTTTCTAGCTGTCTGACATTTTTGTTCTTGGACAATAATCACCTGTTATTGTTTAGAGATGCCCGTGACATTTTACGTCGTCAATTTTAGATAACTACTGATTGTCAAATCATTTTTCATGAGTCACTTAATCAATTAGGTGACTAATCCCTTCGGCTCACCTTAAGTTTAGGAGATGAATGTTAATTTAAGGGTCAGACTATATAAATTATTGTATCTGTTTGAGTAACATGCAGTCCTTGTTAATGGGTGAAATTTACTGTGAAGCTCTTATTGATGTTGTAGCAACTGAGTGCATATTTGAGATTAAATTATGCAGTGACATTTATTGTCTAAAGGTGATCCATAATAATTGAATCCTAAAAGGATAATTTGATTTAACGAGCAGAAAATCTGGACTGCATGATGGCATAGTTGGCAGCACTGTTGCCCTGTACTGAGAATGTTGCAGATTCAAATCCCGGAAGAGGAGTTTGCATGTTCTCCTCATGCATGTGTAGGTTTACTCTGAGTGCTGCATTAAGTGAAATTATATAGAGTTGTTTAGATTTTTGAGATTAACTTTGAAATGTGTTAAATACTATCTCATCCTTTGTTGATGGCTTTCTGGATGGCCTTAGCATTTATGGTCTGAATGCAGCCAAGACTAAATTGTATTGCTGCCAATTCAAAAAAGCTCTCACCTCAGAAATTTCATGAAACTATTTTTTATGAAGCCTGGTTCAAACGGTAAGACAAATTGTTGTTTGATATTAAAAGCATGAGAGACCACACACGTGGGGATAAAAAAAAATCACAGATAAACCAGTTTTGGTCCTACAGTGTGTGGTGTGCAGCAACTTGGCAAATACTACACATGACCCACTTTCCTGCATGGACAGGATTTTTGTCCTCGAAAATCAGATAAAGTTAATCCAACATGTTTCAAAGCTCAGATTTATGACTGTAGCATTCTTGACGTGCTTCAGAGAGTACCAATGTGCTCTTAACAAACCACACAAGGTAGGATTTTTCAATAAGTTTATCTTTAGAGCAGTAATGAAATTGTGTGACTGTCAGAAAGGGAGGAGCTGGTCAAATATCGACATGCTTAACCTGCCAAGTGAGCTGGACTTAAACTGATGGAGACAATTTTGCACCAAACCTGATGGGGATAAATAATGTTGGCGTGATTCATTATAGCAGGGTCACCAACTCCCGTGCTCATGGGCTACCATCATGAACATGTTAGCTGTTTATTTGATCCTGCACACCTGATTGAAACAAATGAGTAATAACAGGCCTGGAAAGAGTTAAACGTGGTAAGGAGAGGATTAAATTACTCCATTCAGGTGTGGTAGAGCAGGAAACACAGAAAACAAGCACAATGGTGGCCCTCGAGGACTGGAGTTGGTGACACCTGCATTACTGGCTGCATGTTTGCAAGGAAGTTGCAACTTTGATTTGATCAGATTTCCATAAAGTCCACGAAACCTGCAACTTTTACTGGGACCTGTATGTTGTCTAGATGTGTGTGCATGTGTGCGTGTAATTGAGAATGTTTTGTTTCTACGTTTTCCTGAGCTGGACTGGCGACCCAATGACCACTGGAGATAGATGAACAGATGGCTAGATCACAGTGAAACTTAGGAAACCGGAGCTGTTTTAGGACAGCAGCAATACACTTTGGACTTGGCTGTACTTGCACCAACCACTAGCTCATTATTCCATTTGTCTGAACAGGGACCGTTCAGCAAGCTAAACGCATTAAAGGGCCAAGGCGATCCCTGTAATGCTGTTCTAATTGTAGTGTTACACACTGAAACACTGATGTGTTCAGTATCGAGTGTCTTCAGGCTGGTTTAAAGTAAAATAAGTGTTCTGCAAACTTTTGGTTTAATTCCTCCTGCATCAGTTTTAAAACTTGACCCTTAACTGGTGCAACAGCACTTTTTGTTTTACCAGAAAAAAACTAAAAACAAATCTGTGAAAACTATTTGTGAAAAGAAAAATCTACATTTTTGTTAGTCATGAAAGAACTACTTTGGTAGGAGGCACAAATCCAACCCTTGTAGAGTACACAGCCAGAAATTCAGAAAACAAGGTTTCTACAAACTCCATCCCTTTGTGGTGGTAAACTCTGATTCTCTCAGTTACTGTAAAAGGACCAAGACGTAAGTAAAAGCACTCACGTCTAACATCTCTAAAGTAGATGGTTTGTCGGTTGGGGTTAAGGAGCTGGATGACGGAGTCGTCGTTGTTCTTCACTCTGCAGCTGATGGTAGCCGTTTCCCCCTCGATCACCGACACGTTGTCAGTCGCCAGGTTCTGACTGTCGACTGCAAAACACAAGCAGAAGGCCGAAAAAAATCAAATTCCCCTGGCAGGATATTAGCAGTCTATTAAATATTTAGATTTTTACAACAGGAACGACACGAAGTGAAGCTATGTGAATAAACTGTGTAGATCATCTGCTTGCAGCCATGTCTAATCCTTTTATTATAAGAGCCATGTGCAGTGTTTGTCACTATTGATCTCCCCGGCTCACAGTGGGCCCTGTGCGCGAGTGCCAGATGGGCTGTAAGCTCCGCTGCCCACAAAGATGCAGAGAAAAGAGAGGATATGAAGGAGAAAGGACAAAGAACAAGTGTAAGAAAGTGGCAGATATGGGCGGAGCGGTGGAGGTGAGAAGGAAAGGAGGAGAGCGATAGATGAGCTGGATGCTGTTCATGGTTAAGCTCGATTCGATCTCGCCATCTGAGGCACCATGTGACCAGCGTGTGCTCCTATCTCCAGGAGAACAAGCATGTGAATCAATCTCTGTACACTGGCACAGACGCCGCAGACAGACTTTGGACTGTGTCGTCAGAACTTCCACCGCTCTAAACCCCCAACACAAAAAGCCCGGCTTTGTTCACGCTGTCCTGAAGAAGAACATCAGAAGTCACCTTGCACTATATTTACTTGCCAGCAACCAAAATGTTTTTAAAGCAAAAAAAAAAAAAAAAGAATATGTTTAATGTCTCAGATTCACACCAGGGGGAGAACAACTCTCTAAGCCACACTCCCCCCTCCAAAAAAAGGAAACATCAAAAGCGCATTTGCATGCCTGAGTTGTCAGACACCTCTATTGCATTCTGACATTTACAAAGTAGAGGGGGAAAAAAGAACGCCTGCATTTTCAGATAGTGATAATGGGAACGGACAGCCAAACTAACATGATTCAAAATGAACTCTGCGAACGCGGCGAGCAATAAGAAATTAACCTCCTGTGGAGAAAAGCTCCTCAGACCTGTCTGATGCAATGAGCTACCCATTTCATTCCACTCCGGTGCCGGCGTTCCGGTTCAGGACAAAAGAAGGGTAATAGGTAAAAAAAAAAAAAAAAACAGACAACCGATTATGTGCCAAAGTACACAATGTGGGCAATTAAAGGGTTTTAGAAAGCAGTACACGTTACACGCTTGGTCAAATAAATCTGAATTATACCTAGACATGAATCAAATTAAAGATGGTGATAGGGAGTCAGCTCATTGTACTTTCTAATGGCTACCACAAGCGGATACCACAACAGTAGGTATTATAAGAGCTGTATAAATGCAGGAGCTACAAGCACTTTGCACATTTTTTATTGTTAGGAGAATCCTGACATTGAATTTCCATAAATAAAAGCTGATGTTTATAATTTCTAATCGTTTTAACTGTAAAAAAAAATAAAAACTAAATAAAACATGCATTTGTGCTTACTATTTAGTTTCCAATTCATAGGTTAACTCCAATAACTTTAAATTTTAGATGGAAAATATACAGAGAAAAATCTATAAAGACTTTTTCCTTTAGAAACCATACAGAAATAATAAATGACTCTGCATCCAATCTTAATTTTTACATGCTTCATTGTATGATTAGATTAGATGCCTATTTGGTTTATCTCAGTCTCATTTCTTTATTGTAATTGTTTTATTTTTGTATTATTTATCTTTTATAACTGTTGCATATTATCGTTTAAAGGGGCATTATGGAAGTTTGACAGCCAAAACGTATAGAAATAATAAATTTCTTCTTCATACATTCTCCTGCAATGCCCTGGTCCTGTAGAATGAGCCCTGGCATTGTTACTGTGATTGCCTGTTTTTCTGTAAAATCACAGAAAAAGAGAGATGCTCGGGTCGAGCAGGCTGCTTCATGCGCGTTCACGCTCAGCGTAGCCCGTAGCGTTTGCTATCCGTAGCTTTAGCAGCAGAGAGTGAGGTAGTGCCAACTCAGCGACTTTGTTGCTGTTCCTAACGCCTATGAACCTAGCTACATTTCTGAGGACGGTTAGCTACTTTCTTCTAGATAATTCCTGCAAATTAGCAACAAAATAGCCATTGAACGTTGTTTCAGCTGTCATCAACCATATAAATGTTACAGATACGAAAGATGTCATTGGTGCTTTAGCTCGCCTAGTTAAATGTCGGACTCTCGTGCTGGAGGCTTGGGTTCGATTTTGGATGTGCACATGGTTTATTTAGATTTTATTTTTTACATTAATGGTATATTTTTTACAGTAAGATGCCCACATTTTTATTTAAGACTCGCCAAACGGCATCGAATTCACAGATAAAAAAGATGTGGGTTCAACTTTCATTTTGGAACCTTTTTTCAAGCAAGGGAAGGGAATGATCTGAGAATGCAGGAGGACTGACCCATCTTAAACCTTTGTCGGCTGTGCTGAAGAGAAAGGTACAGAACCAAATTATTTAATTAATTAGCTGCACGCTCTCCTGTCCTCTGTCCTCCAGGCCACACACACACACACACACACACACACACACACACACACACACACACACACACACACACACACACACACACACGGGACTGTCTCAGCTGTTATTTTCATTAAGGAGTGTGCACGTACAGCATGCACGCCTCGTGCATGAGCCTACTATTGAAGCTGCCATTACGCTTTTGGCCTGAGGGGGCAATCGCATAAGAATTCAAAACTCTGTTAAGTCCCTTTAAACGACCTGCCTTGTCATGTTTCATATCAACAAGTCACATCATATTCATGCTTAGTTTTCTTACACTATCCTTTATTGTCTAGAACTTAGCCTTCATTAGTTTGAAAAAACAAACATTGGGTTTTCCTTGAGGTCCTCCTTTCCTGTATCTAAGACAAGCCTGACCCTCCAACTCCTACCCGCATGAATACTTTAAAAGTGATTCATTGCAAACATTGTTTTGGAAAATGTATTCTCCTTATTTTACATGGTAGGATGTGTTATTGGGATTTTTTTTATGTTTGCAAACATAATTTTGGTAACCTCACAACCTTAGCACAAAAATGTGAGGAATCCTCTTGAGGGGGCCGCATTCTCCAGGTAGGAACACTGTTCATCCTACGTTTTATGTTAATCTCTTCCAGGGGCGTGTCTAGGGTGTGGCCTGGTGTAGCACATGCCACCCCGCTGAGCTCCAATTAACTTGACTTTACATTGTCCACAAAAGTCTTGGGGTTGGTGGTGGTAAAGCACCAAGTAGCTGCTTTCCAACTGGCACAAACCAGCTTGAAGAAGCCATGAAGAAGAATGAGTAGGAAAAATGGTCATGGGTCAAAGTGGAGCTCCCAAATTTACTGGAAATAAAAAATGAAAAGATTTTGTGAAGGATGATGCCCTAAACCTAACCCCATAAACCGTGTTGTCCGAAGTCCTGTTTGCTTTACCAGTGCTGCTCCAATGGGAGGGTTTACAGATGTAGGAATGTAACCCTTGTTGTGTATGTGGAGGAAAGCCTTGACCTCCTTCACCACACCAAAATGCTGCAATAGTGTCTTTGTTGGTTTATTTTTGGCTTGTTTTTGTGGTTTAAGCTCTTCATGGTTCCAGTGGCGTGTCCATGGGGTGGCCCATGGGCACCCATGAATATGCTTTTGCGTGTGTGGTGGTGGTGGATTCTTCTTCTTCTTCTTCTTGTAAGCAATCCTTGGTGCATTATCACCACAAACTGGAGTGCTGAACGTGACTCAAAATCCTATTTATGTTATTTAGAAAACATGTATAATAATAATGCGCACATGTTCTATAGACCTGGTGCCACCAACTGTTTTGGGACTTATAACCTCGAGCCTTTTATGGACAATTTAAAGTCAATTTAAATGAAACTCAGTGGGATTTCACCTGGGGTGACCAATTAGACTCCAAGAGCATGTGCCACCCCAGGTCACTCCCTGGACACACTCCTGCATGGTTTACTCAATCCTTGTACAGTTCAGCAATCTTAAGAGAGCTCATCTTAGATCTATGCTTTAACTTCCTGGTGGAATAAAACTATAAGTATTATATATTTTACCCCAAAAGATGCATCATTCTAACAACTAATAAATCTATTAGACTAACTTGACTAATCTGAACCTGTTAAATTAAAGGACACAAAACAGAGTATTAGCATTTATGTAGAACTGCAACAGAGGGTTAAAATGAACAACAGCTTGATGTGATGGATGTTAACTTGCTACAGGAAAGATCACCTGTAGCTGCTCTGACAGCAGAGCTGCAGTGGAAAAGGAGCTCCGCGGTTCGACAGATCCAAGGCTTAGTTTTAGGAATATTTTGGTTTGTTTGACTCAACTAACTTAAATATAAGTAGCTGTCATATTTTGCACGGGTAATGTTTAAAGTTAGCATGATAGCAGATATATGATGTTAGTTACCTAAATTGGTTTAGTGGGGAGACGTTGCATTTATTACTATCAGTTATTATCAGTATCGGATATTATGAGCATTGGCATATCAGATATTGGTAAAAAGCTATTTGCTAGTAGCTATATATTTAAATTAATCTTTAGATGAGCTAAATTAAGATAAAAGTGTTCATTAATCTACTAATTATGTTTATGCTCACATGAAAATTTAATAAAATCACAAAATGTTAAAATATTTGAAGGTTGTTGAACAAATAAAGCCTTTAGAGTCTTGAAATGCATTAGACTGAAGTGATATGATTTGAATTCCTCTGTAGAAGTAATAAATGCAGCAGAAGATGAGGCAGAAAGCAATATGAAAAGTTTTGATGTCTATTTTATTTCATGGCAGTAATAAATCTGGCAGTCAAACCGGCAGCAGAGCAGCCTCAAAGCAAGGTTACCCCGCTCGCAATCTGCTGGGCTGAGAGAAAGGGAACGGAAAAGATAAATTCTCCATAAGGTTTAGCAGCCCCAAGCAAGGTTGGTCCCCCTCCAATATCCCGGCAAAGGCTCATCTAAAATTCAAAACACACATAAATAACATCGCTGTGATTAGCAATCCCATCAAAGTGAAAACAAGCCACTTTGTGGAACGTGGAGGGTTTTCGC